GCAGCTGCGGGACACTCAACGTCCCTCCCTCGGTCGGCGGCCGGAAGGGCCAGCACAGCCCGCGGCTCTCCTGACGCGCCCGGCAGCACTGGAAGGTGACGTGCCCAGTGAGGAGATGGCAGAGACCCTCCGTTCGTTGGCCGGCTGACCTCTAAGTCCGGTCGTAAGGCCTACAGCGGAAGCAGCCCCAAGGGCTTCCTCATCATCTCCAAAAAATTAAAGGCTAGAGTTTCCCTGAACTCTCAGGGCCTGATGGTTAGGTCACTGTTGACAGGGGGTGAACAACCCAAACCTGACTCAGGGACAGGGGACGAGGGCACGTCTTACCTTTAAGTCTCTATGAACAATAAACTTCTGGTGACAGTACTGCACAGCAGACACTATCTGGAAGGAAGGAAGAAGGGTTAGGCGAGGGGCACCCGAGGGCGGGATGGCGGACCTGCGATCCGGTGACCTAGTTCCAAGCTGCCACATAGATAAGCAAAGCCCGAAGGACCCTCCACAGCCCACTTAGAGACAGGCAGCTCCTCCTCGTATGCCAAATCCCAAAGGGCAGAGGTGGGGCCCACACTCCGCACAGGGAGCCACACCCACCTGGCGGAATTTGGCTCGAGCCTCTTTTTCTTTCATCCTGCCATGAGCCACCAGGTAATCAAACACCTCTCCTGCAAGACACAGGGGTGGGGTCTAGGTCGGAGCTTACCGGGGCCGGGGAACACGGGGGCCCGTGGGAAGAGGTGGTTCCACACCTACCTCCGCTAGCGTACTCCATGACAAGGTAGAGAGTTTTTTCAGTCTCGATCACTTCAAATAACTTAACTGCAACAGAAAGGGCCAAGCCGTGAGTCAGAGAAGTAGGAGGGGCCACACGCTGAGCCCTAACGTGAACAGGGGCATCCCGGGGATGAAAGGTCCCCCCACCCCGCCCCTGCCACAAGGGCAAGCTCCTCTCGTGGCAGCCACACTGCTAAGAAGAGCCCAGGGTGCCAGGGGCAGGGCTGGATCTTGAGCTGGGCATCCCCAGAGGCATCCTCAAAGACTCCCGACTCCAGAAAGCACTGCCTCGGGGAGGGACGCAGGCTGGGAAGTGGAGCCGTGCTGTGGAGGAGGAAGGAAGGAAGGAACGGCATCTGGTTCTCACCTATGTTGGGATGATTCAACACCTTCATTATTCTTACTTCGCGGAATAGCTGGAAAATAAAATACCAGGGGTCACGCTTGCTTCACTTGCTGCCCTCAGGTCCCCTCCACACGGAGCCACTGTTTGAATTCTTTTCCCAAGAGAGAAAACAGGCGGAGGAAAGAAATGGGGCAGCCGTCCAGGTCCCCCATGCCTGTCCCTGATGGCTGAGAAGTAGGTGAAGGGGAACGAGAGCAGAAGCGTCGGCAGGAGGAAAGCTGGGCTCTAGCGACTTGCACCCTGGGGTTCAGCATCTGGCTAAAGCGGCCAAGTGTCCTCTGTCGCAGTCTCCCCAAATCCAACCCCCAAAGAGCAGACGGGTTTGGCTGGGTGCCTCTGAAGGAGGGAGCGTGAGCCCGTGTACATGAATATTCAGAACCAGGGCTGCTGCTAAAGTTCAGTGACAAAACAGCCTCCAGCTTGGTCTGCGTGAAGGGGTGGGGGCTGGCAGGGGGGTCCCCACCGTCTTCTGGTTTACAGAAGTCAGAGGGCTCTGCACTGGTGGGCAGGCCCTTCTCTCCTGGGCCTCTGGGGTGGTGACAGAAGAAGCCGCTCCTATATATAGCTGATGCCAATTTTAATCAAGCCCACCTCCACACACTCACGCTCTCTTTGTGAAACAAAATCAGGGACTCCAAAGCATGTATTTCCATAAAGAAAGATGACAGAAACGAACTCCATCCCCTCTGCGGGGGCCAGAGAACTGGAGGTGGGATCTTGGTAACTTCCAGGCCTCACCGTTTGCACAAAGAGCAGACGTAGTTGTTTGCATTTTGTTGTTTTTTGGGGGGGTGGGGGGTGGGAAGGGGAGGAGAGGTCTCTCCAGGACCTCTGGAGATAATTCAGGATATAGGTCATGGAATAAAGTGAACACGGTTTTTTTGTTTTTTGTTTTCCCTTTAAGGAGGTCCGAGAGCTTTTGTGAGCTGAAAAGGAAGAGACGGGCTTTCCAATCTTCAGGAATCTGATTCTGAACTTGGCTCCCTTTTCATGTTAGAGCCCAGGTTTCTCTTGCTTTCTTCCCTGGTCCAGCAGTTGTCTTGGATGAGAGGCAAAAAGTCCTGGATGCCACCTCAGGGGTGGTAAGCAACACTGAAATGGGGCTGGAGGCAGCTGCCCGGGTTCTTCCCCTGAGGGCACCCACTTGGCCTGGAAGGGACATTCTCTGGGAGAACATGGAGTTTTCTGAGCTCAGCTGAGAACCCTGAGGGGGCTAGATTCTTCAGTGTTGTCCTTCCTACGGATCACTGCTGGGATCAGATTTAAACAGAGTGATTCGGCCAGAATCAGACTGGCCTTGGTAACAGAGTGTGTTGAAAGGCTTTTAAACTGGCTACGTTTGTCCGGGATTGGTGCCTTCCAGCCAGTCAGGAAGAGGCAAGGAGGAAAGAGAGGCAGGAAATAAGACGGCCAGGCTGACTCTGGCAGTTATCATATGGCAGGCTGGACCGCACCAAAGACCAAATGGCCCACACCAAGCTGGCTCTGACTCTGTAGGCTCTGAGCCAACATGTCAAGAGTAGCCCTCTTTCCCTTTCTTCGGGAAAGCCCCAGGCAGGAAAGCCCTGGTGATGACAGCAATGTTTCCTCTGAACCAAAGAACCTTGAGGGGATCCCGGGGCTTGAGTGAGCATCAACCAGGAAACACTTTGCTTTTGACTGCCAGCGTGTCAAGGCACCTCAACCTCCACACCGTAATTCTGTGAACGCCTCTCTCAATACCAGCCCCCAAGCCCTAGTCCTAAGCTTCTCGATCTCACCGTAGTTGACTGTTAGCATGAGGTTATGCCCTCTCTTAAACAACAGGGTGCTCCTGAAAAGAAAATTTCAGCTTACCTCGTGAGAGAACCAGGTGAAGCAAGATCAGAAAATCTGAGCCAGGGTCAGCTGGAGTATGGGGGCACAAGGAAATATGACTGACCTGAACAGGGGAGGCTTTTGGGGAGCCAGACGGGAGACTTCCTCTTTCCCCCAACTGCTGGAGCCCAGCATGGGAGGAGAGGGCAGAGAGTGTCCAGTTCTACGTCAACCCATCACTGGCAAGCTGTCTCATTCTGCAAATCAAAGCCTCCTTTTCGCGTTCCTACCAGCTCTTCATAGTTTCCCGACCGGGGCGGGTATGTGTTCCCACCTGGAGGACTCCCCTGATCAGCTAAGACTGACCTCAGTTTCCCACCGTAAATAAAGGAGGGAAGAAAAAGTTCAACCTCATCTAGCGAACACTACATGTGGATGACTCTGTGACTTTTAGCCAAGAGAAGCCTAGGAGTGAGAAGGCAAACTGGGACTACCTGTCCTTTATCTGCACAAACTGTCAGGGGCTTGAAACTGGAGTCGAGCTTCTAAAAACCCAACCTTCTATACTCATCCCCTAAAAGGCTGCTGGCACAGAATCTGGTGGCAGGCTCCCTGCCCCCTCTTATCCCTGTACTTCCAGAGCCACTCCCCTGGATCGTTCTAGATCTTGGAATCACCAAACGCATGTTTCTAGAAATGGCCAGGAACGTTGTGTTTTTGCATAGGGCCACAGGCCAGCAGATGACACGATGCAGGAAGTAGGTCAGACAGGCCAAATGGCAGGGAAGGGCAGAAAGACTTCTAAAGAGCCAGTGCCCGTGGCCAGGAAGCCTACCCAGGGGGAGTCAATGCAGTGGATCCCATCAGAGCCCCACAGGTAGCAGAGCCACAGAGCACTGGGGACAGTGAAAAGACGAAGAGATTTAAAAAATGGGGATTCAAGGGGAGGCCCACACGGGATCGCTGACCCCTGATGAGAGGTTTAAAAACGAACAGAAGATGTTGTATGCTTACTTTCTGGAGGCTGGAGGAGTTCAGTTGAGTCTTGTCAATGATCTTCACAGCTACCTGCACATGAGACAAAAAGCCCAAGTTTCCCTCTCTGAACAGGAGAGACCCAGGACTCGACTCTCCCTCCTCCTCTAACCCCATCCCCGTCAACACATCTATCTGTCCAGATTTCATTTCCAGCTGACAAATAAGAGGTGGCTGTGGCAGCAGTCCCACCGCTACCTCCTGGGTGCCAACAGTTGGGGGATGCGGCCACGCCCCACGGCCCATCCCCAGAGCTCACCTCCTTCCCGGTCAGGATGTGCCGGGCCAGCTTCACCTTGGCGAAGTTGCCCTTGCCGATGGTCTTAAGGAGCCGGTAGTTGCCGATATGGGGCTGCTCGTCAGCAGAGGCGGCTGAGTTGCGGCCCCGCAGCATGTTGGACTTACTGCTGGGCTTGGGGTCAAGGTGTCCCAAGGTGGGCTGTGGGGTGGAAACACGCACACCTTTCAGGACGCTGACTTCTCAGTTCCCCTTATCGTTGCCCTTAGCTCTCCGCAAAAAAACCTAAGAGGCTGGGGCGGAGGTGGGTGGGGAGGGGGGGACGGCAGGGGGCTGGCAGGCAGGCAGAGTCAGAAGGCAGTGGGGGGAGGAGGAGGAGATAAGGAGTGCCGGTCTTCAGTGCCAACATCCCGTGGGCGTGGGAGCCCGGGCCCCGCACCGCAGGGCGGTGCAATCGGCCCTTAACAACCCACCAGCCCTCCACGTCCTGCGGGAGAGCGCCTCCTACTGCTCGCCCAGCTGCCTCTTCACGCCGTGAGGCTGCGCAGCAGAACATCAGAATTCCTTCCCGGCACTCAGCGCCATGCCGCCCTTCACCTTCACCTTTAGCATTTGTCACTTTACACCGATTTGCCGTCCATCCCGTTGAGACAGGAGCGCATGAAGGCAAGCGTACGTCATTTACTCACTGATACATCCCAGCCCCTACACGATCTGAATTCTGGGAGATGCTCACTCAAACACCTGCGCAACGAACACGCCGAATGACAGGGTCTGAGCAAGGCAACCGTCTGCCCTCCCGGGACGGCCCGCAGCTCGGGCCAACGGTGTGAGGATGCAGAGATGACAGCAACGGCACTGAATAGCTCCGCATACGTGACACAAAAAGGGTGCAACCCAGACGAACGCACACGTGTCCACGAAGACTTGTGTGTTCCTCAGAGGGCTAAACCCGGAGTCACCGTGTGACCCGGCAGTGCCACTCCCAGGTGCAGCACATCACAGAAGTGGAAACAGACGTCCACACAAAAACTCATACACCAGTGCCTGCTGGGAACAGCCCACATTCACAACAGCCAAAAAGGGGAAACAACACAAACGTCTGTCAGTTGGCAAACGGACGGACACACTGCAGGATATCCACGTGGTGGAATATTCGTTGGCAATCGGAAGAAATGAAGCAGTGACACGCGCTACAACACGGACAGACCCTGAAAACCTTCCACTACGTGAATAAAGCTGGTCACAAAGGACCACGTATTGTATGAGCCCATGTATTTGAGATGTTGAGAACAGGCAAATCCAGAGAGACAGAAAGATCAGTCTAGGGCTGAGGAGGGTGGAGATTTAGGGGGGACAACTAAGGGGTACGAGGTTTCTTTCTGTGAGAACGAAAATCTCCTAATGAAATGTTGATTGTGGTGACGGATACACAACTCTGTGAATTTACTCAAAGCCAGTTACTTGTACACCTTCAATGGATAAATTGTGGGGCGCCTGGCTGGCTCAGTTGGTCGAGTGTCCGACTCTTGGTTTCGGCTCAGGTCACGATCCCTGGGTGGTGGGATCGGCCCCACGTTGGGCTCTGTGCTGAGCATGGAGTCCGCTTAAGGTTTTCGCTCTCGCCCCCTCTGCCCCTCTCCTTGTGCACACTCTCAAATAAAAGTAAAAGTAAAAAATAAAATAAATGGGTGGACTGTATGGCACGGGAACGGGTGAATACAAGTGCTGGGAGTCTGGTCTGATCTTGTTTGGAGCCCCACTTTTACTCTCAAAGACCACCAGATGCCCTCACTCCCACATACTGGGGCAAAATGCGGCCAGAGCCTCGTCCTAGAACCATCCAGAGCTACCTTGACAAGTCTGTGTGGAGACAGCGTGGAGGAGAGTGGGGTGACCAGAAGCGTGTGAGTCAAAGTTCTTCCTTTCATGGCCCCCTGGGGCTGTAATGAAGCCCTTCAAAACCACAGAGGAAAGAAATGACTTGCTACCACCCAAAGAACTGTCCAGGGTTTCTCGAAGAAGCTTGCTTCCCTAACCAGATGCTTTCGAGGCAGAAAAACAATAACACAAAGCAAATACCCTGCTACTGACGGTTCCCCCTTCTTCCTTGCCATCAAGGAAGGCCTTTTTTCTCTTTGCATGGTAGCTGCTGGCTGATTTGGGGTAAACTGTCTCACTCGGATCCTGAAAGCTCATGGATTTAGGCCTTCGAGGAGAAAAAAGACCCCGTGCATATGGCAGCTTTTGAAGGGAAAGGTTCCTGACATCTCAGCAGAGTCCCTTTTAACCTCTTTTGCCCTTTAGGGAGTGTTCTCTCTCCTGCAAGTCCTCACCAGTCAGGTCCTCAAAGCCTTTGCTGTCTGCCCACTCCAGCCCACCCAACTCTCTTGGCCTCTGTGCTTCAGACACCCGGTTGCTCACTTAAACCTGGTTGGTCCTCAGTGTTTGCTAGAACAGATTTTCTTTTTCTTTCTTTCTTTCTTTCTTTTTTTTTTTTTTTTTTTTTTTTAATGTTTATTTTTTTGAGAGGGAGTGCAAGCAGGGGAGGGGCAGAAAGAGAGAGAGGGTGAGGGACAGAGGATCCCGAGCAGGCTCTGCGCTGACAGCAGAGAGCCCGATATGGGACTCGAACTCACAAGCCATGAGATCATGACCTGAGCCAAACTCGGGACACTCAACCGACTGAGCCACCCAGGCGCCCCTAAGACCAATAGGTTTTCAAACATCTGTTTTTTACCCTGCCAAAGCAACCGTAGGATTCACATCCCTTGGAGACAAGGACATTCCTCGGCCCTGCTGGTACTTGCCTTTGGCTCAGTCTACCAAAGGGTACCCTGAGCCCCGTCCATCAGGGTCCTGAAGGTCTGGCCTCCACGGCCTACCTCTTCTCAGTCCCATCCTCCCAGCAAGTGCTGCTAGACTGTCTGCTCTCTACCTGGCCTGCCTCAGAGGGGGTGTGACAGGAGAGACCTTCCCTCTGCCCTAGCTCTCACGAGAGGAAGATGGGTGGGAAAGTGTCCTCGGCAACCACCAATTCACCTCCTGACTTTGTCCCTCCCCTCTTTTCTGAGGATCCGAGGACTTGGCAGACTCAAAGTCCTCAAAATTTGTAACAGGAATTTAGCGTACACTTGAAGGTTTGGGCCCTCTGCCCCTCTGAAGCCAAATCTGGGAATCCCACTGTCCTTCTTGACTTCTGCTCTGCCCATCCCTCTTGGTGTCCCTGGCTCCAGGGGCTGGTCACTGCGGTACAACAGGATGGCTTTCCCCGCCAGGCTCAGCTGTGCACTGGGCCTCAAAACATCAACTAAACACAAGAGGGGCCCTGCCATCCACCTCCCTCCTTTCAGGGGTCGAGAGGTGTGGTTATGAGTGCAAATGCCAGAGACAAATCCTAAATCTGCCAATTACTCAACACATGCTAACTTTATTATTATCAACACCACCCTTAAGAGTGAGATGAGAGTAAAAAGGTGAAGGAAACCATCCAAAAGATGACCAGTGCACGGTGATTCCACACATCTGGGTCAGGAGATGGTCTAGCGGGGGCCGAGGAGCTCTGCCCAGCAGAACTAGGTTCAAGTCCTGGCTCCCCTACTTACTGGTATTAGTTTTCTCATCTGTAAAGTGGTGATAAAATATTCCCAACTTCACTTGAGGTGAGAGAACACACATAAAATGCTTTATCCAGTACAGCATGAAGAGCGACCCGTATCGCAATTATTTTTAGTTCCCAAATACTATTGTCTTTGTCAACAAGACTTCCACCTCTTAGTGGAGCCCTCCTAGCCTGCACCAGCACCTCCAGCCTTCATGGGACGCAACTAGACAGGACAGCCGTGAAGGGCTGGTTCCAAGCCGGGCATCCGGAACAGAGGGAAGGTTCTGCTTGTCCAGGACCCAGAGAAGCAGAGAACAGGGGCTGTGCTCTTTGATCCCCTGCTCCCAAATTCACCCACTCGCCTTTCAGGACCGAATCACCCAACTCTCAGGACTCAAAAGAGCGTAGCCGTCCCTCCCTTTCGCCTCTTCTCTGAGACACAGCAGGGATGGGGGGGGGG